CTCTCTCTCTCTCTCTCTCTCTCTCTCTCTCTCTCTCTCTCTCTCTCCTCTCTCTCTCTCTCTCTCTCTCTCTCTCTCTCTCTCTCTATTTCTCTCTCTCTCTCTCTCTCTCTATTTCTCTCTCTCTCTCTCTCTCTCTCTTCTCTCTATTTCTCTCTCTCTCTCTCTCTCTCTCTCTCTCTCTATTTCTCTCTCTCTCTCTCTCTCTCTCTATTTTCTCTCTCTCTCTCTCTCTCTCTCTATTTCTCTCTCTCTCTCTCTCTCTCTCTTTTCTCTCTCTCTCTCTTCTCTCTCTCTCTCTCTCTCTCTATTTCTCTCTCTCTCTCTATTTCTCTCTATTTCTCTCTCTCTATTTCTATATGTTTCCCACATTTCAAAATCCACCATGCTGTACAAGCCTTTAGTCCCAGGCTTTATATCTGAAATTCTCATAACAAAATTTTGTCCGTATCCATGTCGTTTTACAAACCCCATGCCATCTTCCTTTCACCAGTATTGCGACATCCATGTGCCCGAGATTCAGAAGTTGTTGGAGGAGGCCATTCTAACAGGCGCCAATAAGGTGTGCTCGGAGAAGTACGGTTGGCTGCCGGCAGGAGTTGTGTCAAGTGCCGCGACATCATCTCGCACCTCATCGAGAAAACCATCGCAGAAGAAGTGAGTGGGATCTGTTTGTGTTAAGATGTGTTGATGTGTGTGGATATGTTTATAGTTTGTTTTTTTTCTTTTCTTTCTTTTTTTCGCTCATCTCCACCTACATTTTAATACAGAAAAGGAAAAAAAAATCTCCGTCTTTACCAGTGGTATTGAAGTAGTTCTAAAAGGCATTTGAATCGGCCATAGAAGTTCACGTGACGACTTTGTATTTTACATTTATTATAACGTTTATTTATATTTATTATATTTGCAGGACATGATTAATCTTTTTTTTTTATCTATAATTTGTATTTATTAACATTATCCTTTTTTTTTTCCTTCTTTATTAGTATTGTTATTTATTGTTTAGTATTATTATTATCAGTTTTTCTTACTGTTATTACTATTATTAATATGATTATTAATTTAATTACAATTATTATTGTTATTGTTAATGTAATTACATGATGAATGATATTATTTTTTTTATTATTATTATATTATTGCTATTGTTATTTATTACTGTTTTAGATATTATATTGTATTATTAATGTTGTTGTTGCACTTTTTTTTATTAAGATGATGATGATGATTGATGATTATTGATAATGATTTATTTATTAATTATTATTTATTATTAGTAGTAGTAATAGTAGTTGTAGTGTTTTTTTCCTTTTTGAAGTAGTAGTATTTTCAATTTTTTTGTTTTGTTTTAGCCTTTATATTATTATCATCATCTTAGTTTTAGATAATTGTTTCATTTATATTATTAGTTGAATATTGTTATTAGTTTGATTTTTTTATCATTATTATTATTGTTGTTACTAAAATTTATTTATTATTTTATCAAAGTATATTATATAAGTATTATTTTATTTTATTTAAACTTTTATGATTAATATTTCATAGTATTATATTAGTATACTATTTTTTTATTATATATTTCATTTTTTATATTTTTATTATTTATTTGTATTAATCATCATTATTATTATTCTCTTTACTATTGATTATTATTATGAGCCAATTTAGTTTTCATTTTATTTATTATTTTATATCTATTATATTTGAATTATTACTATTTTTGGTTATTATGTTTATTTTTTTTCTTTGTTTTTTTTTAAACAATATATTTATTATGATTATTATGTTTAATTATCATTATTATTATTGTTGTTGTTATGATTCATTTTATATTTACTTTATTATTTTGATTGATTTTTTTTTTTTTTTTTTTTTTTATCACTATTATTTTTGTTAATGTTGATATTATTTGTATCCTCAAAATTTTAATTTTCATGTTTTCATGTTCATATTCACTTTTATTTGTAGAAGTTGTAGATTATTTTTATTATTACTCTTTTATTTTATTATTTTATTGAAACTTATAGTTCATTATGGCATCTTTTTAACAAGCTTCCATCAAAAAGTAGGATTTCTTGCTATGTTTAACTTTTTTCCTTTCTATTATAATGTAATTGCTCATTATAGTTAGAAACCTACATCTGAAACTACTTTATTGTTATTGTGGTTTTATAACATAGCGAGCATGCAATTTCTCCTCCTCCCCCCCAATTTTTTTTTTTTTTTTTTTGGAATATGAGACATTTATTTAATTCCACTGGCCAATGCAATATATTTTTCTTTATATGTATTCCAAGAATGATTAAGATTGTATGTACTAATAATATTTTTCCCGTTTCTTTTTCTCTGTTCTGTCTTTTTTTTTTAATGTTCCTTCTTCCTTTCAATTTCATATTTTCTTGCACATTCTTTTTTTTGTTTCTTTTTAAATTTCTGTATCCACTCTCTTTATCCTATTTTTTTTCTCTCTCCTTTTCTTTTCCATCCCCTCCTGTAGCTGCTCAAGGCCAGGGCTTGGACGAGGAGGAGCTGAGGTCAAACTCCGACACCGATTCCCCAACGGAAGGCAATTCAACAGAAGAGGAGACAGGATAGCGTCAGCGTTTCTCCTCTTCCTTATATTTTTATATTTGATGTAGAAATTAAACTATATTTGATTTATGTGTATTTTTATTATTATTTTAACCCTGAATTAGAGGAACGTCCACACATGCTGGCTTGATTAGAATTAAACTATATTTGATTAATATGTGCTTTTATCATTATAACCCTGAATGTTTTTTAGAGGAACGTCCACACACGCAGGCCTGATTCGCTACTGTTTATGAAGTGAAATCAGAGTTGGGCTAAATAACCAGTAGTTTGCATGCCTTTGACATTACAATTTGGAAATAGTTGACAATCAGGATTTCTTGTCTATAGATGCCTCTAGATAGTAGGTGCTGTCAGCTGTTGTTGTTTTCCTCGTCTTTATCATCATTTCTGGTGGTGATTTAACAGTATTATGACTTAATTCTCTTTATTATAATTATTATTCAATGTATTTTCCTCTCATTATTATCAGTTACTCTTAGTTTCATGACTATTATTGATAATAGTTTTGCTAATTTTAATGATACCTTGCTACCACAATCACGGTCATAACTTATTCTTTCCATAAAATAATCAGCATAAGGAAGGTAAATCAAAACAACCAGTTTTAGCTAAGTAAACACTTTATGATTTGCGTAACACTTTTGCGGTGCACACAAATTACACAAAATATACTCATCACTACACCATATGTAAAACCTTTTCTCATTAGAAAAAACACGTAACACATAACCCTACAGTGTGGCACCTCAAAACGAGAAACCAGAATGAATTAGTCCAAAAAATGATGGAAAAGTTAACAAATAAATATCACATCTGTTGAAAATAAAATAAATCCTCCATACAATCATACAGATTTGCTTTAAACTTTCATTTCCTTACTCTAAATCCTAACGGCTTATCTTATTATGTTTATATATATATATATATAAGAAAATGTTTATTTTCAGTTGAGAGTAGTATATATTTTTTTTGTTTTGTTTTTTATTGTTTTGTCTGCAAGACCATTTCTGCAGATTTGTTTTTCAAACGATAAAAACGTTATTACAAGAAGGCACTTATAATTCTGGAATGTGATATTTGAAATTTAAGAACACATCTTTCCATGCCAGTGTTGAGACTCAATGAAATTCAATGTATAAAATGATTGAAATTCCTTCACAAAGATGAACTTTAGAACACAGCAATAACAATCTCTCAATCAATTTTTGAAAAAGCTAATTTTGCTGCTTTCACCACTAAATACAGTTTATTGCAAACTCTTTCCATATAACATACCAGCCAAGCTAATACTAATGTTAAACACCACACCCTGAACTCAGCAGAAAAGATATAATTATAGCTAGTTATAAACTCTATAATAAGGAAGGGGGAAGGGAAAGAAAAGCAAAATTCTTAACCTAATATATTCTAAATAATTCATAAAAGTTCTATATATAAGTTTTGATTTGTGGTAATAAAAATAAATAAATATGCTAATTATGCCAACGTTATCTGATCCTTCGTCGTAAAAGACATTTAGCTGTAATTTTCTTGTTATGCTTGAACTCTTGTGGTTTAAAGAATTTCAAGAATATTGATATACTCTTAATTATCGAAAGATCTGATAAAAAAAAAATAGTCTATTAAAAAGTTATGAATGCCGTCAATAAATCTTGTGAATTTTATCTTGCAATTTATTTGGTCCATGCAAGACAACACATTCTTGATTTGCTAAAGATCTTCTGTTTGAGAAGGGAAATAATATAATTTTACATGTTAAGATCAAAAGTTCTGGTATACTACTTACAATAAAAATTTTTCCACTGATCATAACAACTTACATAATATAAAGGGGGGGGGGGGTAAAAAATTATATGTAAATCACCGAGGACTTGAAACTCATTTTTCGCCTATAAAAATAACAGGCAAAATAGGCAGCTTAGTATTTTGCATCAAGCTAACACTGTTATTTTTTAGGCCAGCTATCTTAGCTTTATGTTAGAAATTTAAAGAATATGAAAATCACATTACACTGAGATCATAGAACAAATGTCTGCCTGCAGTGCCCGTCACTAAACAAGATTTATATCTTAATCAAATGAAATTGCATGTAATATAAAATATCAGAAAACAAGACTAAAATTCAAAAGCCCACTTATTAAAAAGCAATTATAATAATATGCATATTTATTATTATATACACAGAAAATTGAAGTTTCAACTATATTTCAAGCAATAATAGGTGGTAAAATTTTCTGTGACTGTACCCTTACAGATGTAGAAAAGGTATGAAAGAGCAAGAGATGTAATTTCTCTCTATAGGTACTCGCTCTATTCAAAAATGTTCTATATCTGCCACAATAAATTCTGTCCGTCCTAAAGACCCTTCCAGTGAAACATACATGATTGGCAGTCAAGGGTAGTCACCAGCTGACATGACATCATAGCTGGGTACACTATTTAGTAAGCAAGTAGTTTCCCCATTTTTCCTGTGACGTTACCTTTACAGAAGCCCGCTTTTGTGCCCGTCAATCATGCCTGCTTTGTGGTCAGGCCTTCAGAAATGCATTGCTCTTCATATTCTGTGTATGTAACTTTATTGTGTAAATATGCAAAAATAAATAATAGCCTAATAAATGGTGTCAAAATCTTTTCATTCACAAAATTATAATGTTTAGGTTATAATATATACTGTGCTTAAAATATTTTGGCCAAATAAGAACATACAGAAAATTGTATGAAAAAAGATGTTAAAAGATGTACACTTGACAATTTGCATGCATAAACATCATCTGAATTGCCTGCCATCTTTTCAGCCTTAATCTAATTGCATTGTGCAATGTTTTGTCATTATTTTTTTTATGTATAATAATGTGTATGTTAAAACACTTTTCTTGTTTTGAAGGTGAAACAGCCCAATATTTAGAGTAAACTAAAGAAAAAGGCTGTTTTATAGAATAGCTTCATAATACAATAAATAACTGATATCACACAAACACTTGTTGTGCTACAGAGATGTACTTCCACTAAAAGAGAACAAATATTGGAGTACAAGATATTTTCAAATCCCCACAATCTAGCCTACCTCAAGAACACCAGTTTTAAAGAACAGAACTACAGCATAAATAATATGATACCACAGACTATGGATATAAAAGAAGGAGAAGGGAAATGGGGATATACTAAGAGAGTGAGAGAAACACTGTCAGTATCCATAGGAACTTCTGTATGAATATGTATACATTTTATTTATTATATATATATATATATATTATATATTATATATATATATATATATATATATATATATATATTATATATGTATATATTCATACACAAATACACAAGAATATAGCTAGTGCTGTGCTTCTTCCCTGTGTGATGTGCTACATTTGCTCAAACCTTCAAAAATGTTACACACATCTTCCTACTTTGATAAAACTTACTCAAATTGCATAAAATCAAAAATGGTTTACAATGCATATGTGCCTTAAATATACATTTTCTTTTATTTCTGTTCTACATGGTCTATTTTTTATGTCAAGTGTTATGTGGTACATCCAGACATCACACATAAAAAGGTTTCCAACATAACTGCATATAAAATTATATATACTGGATTTTATGGCATACCTTAACTTGTAATATGGAAGCCTTTTAGTACAGCAGCTAATAAAATACTTCAATCATCTACTGCATTGTAAATATTCTTAAGAATATCTCAAAAGTCACATAGTAAATGTGCCACCAGTTTCAATCTGCTGCCATCAATCTTTTTCTTTGTATCACTCAAACAACTAATTACTTAGTATGTAAAGTTACAAGAAAAAGAAACTACATATAAAGATGGTTTTAAAATCTAAACATGACAGCTTACTTAGAAAATAATAATAATAATATTTTTAAAATTACATGTATCATCTTCCGTACTTTTTTGCACTGGCTAATAATGTAACAATTATTGCTTTTACCGTAATCTTTTTACATTTGTGCTCACATGGACAATAACAGGAACTATTTTAGCCAAGCATTATCTAACCATGAGGACTTTTGAAAAAATGATACATTGATGTGCATCTTAACCAACACCTTTCAAGATGTTCACTGCAACCATTTCCACAACTTTACTCTTCTATCTATAACTAAAGCCAAGACAGATAAGTCCTTCGCTTTCCCCAAGAACCAACAAAAAATGGTTAAAATCCTCCTCCAATTTCCAATAGCAAATTTCAACACAGGTAAGACTTACTCTTTTTTTTTTTTTCCTTTCCCTTTTTTACCAAGATCTGATGCAGATGATAACAGGACAGTGAAAAGATTCCTCCTCTCGCTGATATCCAATGCACAGACAAGTGCGTGAGGAATTTTTGCTGATGAAGACAATGAATACTGTGAGGGGGAGGAGGGCTTAGTAGTGCGAGGGGACTGTGATGAGAGCGTCCTGCGAGTTCCTTCCAATCCTGCAGTCCTGTAAAGTAAAGGATTACCAGCCCATGATATTGGCTGTTCTGTTCTTCTTGCAACGGAGTTTATTCTGTTTCTTAAATAATTATTATTCCTTTAAAGACAAAACAAAAGAAATCTAACATAAAGATATCTTAGGTATTGTTCTTTGTTCATGTTTTCATATCTTTTGTAACTTTAAAAGAAAATCTGTCCAAATTTGCAATACCAAGAGAAATATGAAGAGGGATATTTTCTTCCTATATAAAACTGATATCCTAATGACTAAAAATAGATTGAATTATATATTTTACCAAAATATTGAAAAAATTTATAAACAAAATATATAAAAGTTGTGAGTAAAATATCATACACAAAGCATCAATAAAATAAGTTATATCATACAATCCAAATATAAACAGCAAAAGAAAATGAGGTTAAAAAAGCCATTAATCCATTTCAGGACATTTCACATTGATAATA